CTCACATTCCACATAATTTAACTCCCTTAGTTAGTAAATGCCTATTTAACTTTAAATATTGAAATTGCACATAAGTCCTCTAACTTTTTCTTATTTATCATGTGACCGTCTAAACTTTTCATCCTTCACAATTTGGTCCTTCCAACACTTTTTAAATTTCAATTTCCTCATATTTTCATCCCGTTAAATGTGTACAAAAAAAATATAAAATTTGCACTTCATCAAGGTATCACCATAATATTTAAATTTATACTTACCCGTACTAGCTTTATTTAATAAAGACACGTTGCTCCACTAACGTCATTTTTCTTCAAAATCCTTTCTTACTTCTCCTCCTCCACTTAAATTACTCCTATAATCCTCTTTCATGACCAATTCCAATAGGAAATAAAATACTAATATTTTAATATTACTTTATTCTAAAATTCTCCACTTGTCTCCTCGGGTCCCAAAGTATCTCACTTTGTCTCGATCAATTCCAAATCACCTTTAACCTGTTAATTCATTCTCGTTAACAATATTATTATTTGATTATTATTCTCTCCCGTACGAAATATTTTATTCTAAAATATGCTTTTCACCTATCACCACTCTTTGTTACTTAAATTTATGTCAATTGACCCTTCGTCTTGTCAATATGGTCTTATTGACTCCTATACAAGGGTACGGGGTGTTACAATTTCAGGCACTATATTAAGAACAGAGAGAAAGGTCTTAACTAGTTAACACAACGTTTAATTAGTTAAGTGAGTGTTGGATGGAAAAGAGAAACCTTTTAATCAGTTAAAGGAAAGGAGTTAGCTAGTTAAAGGTCAAAGTGTCAAGAAGCGCCAAAATTCAAATTCAAAATATTGTTGATCGTTTAAGGCACCAAACTAAAAGATTTAAAGTTGAAAAATTCTTAATTGGTTGGAGCCCATTTTAATCAATTAAAGAATGGAGAGAAGATTCAATCAATTAAAAGGAGTATTAATTTGTTGAAATGAAGCTAGCTAAAAATAGTGCTTGAAAACATAAACTTATTAATTAATTAAAGCTATTGTTAATTGGTTAGCATAGAGAAACAGTGTGCAAGTCAAAGAAGACTTAATTGGTTAAAGGTTGCCTTTAACCAATTAATGAAGCACTGTTTGCACATTTGAAGTTAAGTACAAAAGGACAAAATAAAGATCAGAAACGGCTAGTTTTTGTCTCCAACAGTCAAAAATGATTTTTCAAGTATTTAAAGCTCTTAAATAGTCAAAAATAATAGAGAAAAGCTATCTAAAGTGATTTTGAGCTTTGAAGTCCAAAAACCTTCTATTTATACTTGTATTTTACTTTCATCCTTTGAAAAAGTGTTTGAGCTTAACTTTGAACATTTTAGATCAGCTAGGTGATCAATTGTACTCCATCTTTTCTTCATTTCTTGATTACTTAGAGTATGTGAGGCACTCTAAGGGGTTGTTGTAAGTTCTAACTTAGCCTAAAAAAAGTTAGTTTTGAGTTTTGGTTGATCTTGGGAAAACCTATTGTTAAATGTTATGGTTGAGCCTGTGAAAAACCATTGTAAAAGGTTGGTGGAAGCTTAAAAATTTCACTAATTTTAGTAAATTGGTTTGAAAATCCTTGATTGGGAGATCAAGATAGTTGGTGTAGGTCAAGGGGATCGAACCACTATAAATCATTGTGTTTTGTCTACTTTTTTTTATTTTCTTCTTACTTTTAACACTTAAATCATTCTTCTAGTAAACTTTAAACTTCTATTTTCAAATTTCTTTAATTAGCTTTTTACTTGAAAAAATTTTTTGTGTCATTCCAAAAGTGCTTTTCACTCTTTTCTAGCACCCTCTTTGGGATTATCAAGTGGTATCAGAACCTAACTCTTAATTTTAAGGCTTAACATCTTGAGGGGAAGATGCAATGGCTACTTAAAATTTTAATGATGTTGAGGGTCAATCCATAAATATGCATCTTTTTTTAGATGGAACCCATTTCTAATTTTAGAGTACTAGAATGTCCATTTATGTTAGGATTTAATATTATGAGGTTTGAGATGTGATTACCGATAATCTTTTCGTCCCTATAATTACTAATTCAGTAAATGGTGAAAAAACTCTCAAAGATAGAAGTAAGTGGACAAAAGCTAAAATGAGAAAAGTACAAATCAACTCTAAGGCCATGCACACTCTCATTTATGCACTTGATTGTAGAGAATACAATAGAGTGTTCATGTGCAAAAATGCTAATGAAATTTGAGAAAAACTAAAAGAGATATGTGGAGAAACAAAAAAGGAAAAGGAATTGGAAGGCAATTATGGTGACAATCAATGCTCAACAAGCAACATGGCTAATGCAAATAAGGAATCAAGTGAAGATGAATCCTTAACGCAAATTGAATTATGCCTTAAGGCTCTTGAAGAGATAAAGGTAATTTCTTCATTTTGTGAACCTAATTCATATGCCTTTGATAAATTGTATGATGCTTTTAAGGATTTAGCATTTGAATTTAAGAAAATGAATTTGAAGCACAAGAAAACCATTTCCATACTTAATGTTGAAAGTGAATTTTTGGTGAAAACAAAAATTGACTTAGAAAAAGAAAATCAAATTTTGAAAAAAGATTTTGAAGCTTACCAAAGGAAAATTGATATTTTAGAAAAAGAAAATTTTGATATGAAAACGAAATTTGAAGATTTATTAAATGAGAAACAAAAGGTTTTCATGAATTCCTCATCTCCCAAAATGATCAAATGCAATCATTGCACATTTTATAGTTATTGTTCATACATTTGTCTAATTAAAAAATGTTTACCTTATAAATTTAGACAAGTATGGGTTCTAAAAAGAACTGTGTGACGAGACTACCTTTGAATAATCCAAAGCAATTTGGATACCACAGATCAAATGAAAAATGACTCTTGTAGGTGTGCTAGAGCAAAGAAGAACAATTCTTGAAGAATTAATGCTCTCAAGTCGCACACAAAGGAAAATGGGTAATCTCTGTGCTAAAAGTTTTTTTTAATGAGAATTTTGATTGCTTATTTATTGAATGTTTTATTCATTTGGCTTAGTTTCTAAAATTGTTTGCTTTTCTTAATTGAAAATTTTGGTTGCCTATTCTTGCTTGAATATTAAGTGCATAATTCTTTTAGCTTTATTAATAAATCTTAACTATACAACTGATTTGATATGATACATGCTATAAGTTGCAAGGAAGTATGAAGATTGAGTATGTACTTATATTTGATCTTGACTATATCATCATTCTTATTTTGAGAAAATTGTTTTATCAAGATTTCTTGATTATGGAAAATTGTTTCTATAAAATTTCCTCATGTTTTGAGAAATTATTTTCATACTATTTCTTTGAGGAAAAATTATTTTTAAGCATAATTTGAAACATAAAAGGTTGGATAATGTGATAGAAACATGAGCATACTTGATGACTTACACTCACACTTATTCAAGTAGCCTAAAACAAGGAAAATTGAGTTAAAAAAATTGTTCTTGATTTCCTTGTGCCGAACATAAGTTGACCATTTGAACAATCTTGATTTACATTCTAGAACTTGCTTGAATAGTTCAAGACAGTTGATAATGAGCTTAAAAGTTTTGACAACTTTAATTGTTTCATTTAAAGCAAAATGAGCTTATATGAGAAAAATGTTTGCCATTCTTAAGTTTATAATGATTTATCAATTGGACAAGTTTGTTTCATGATGAAAATACTTATTAACATGTTATTATTAGATGTGCATGCTTGCTTGTAAGCTCAAACGGTCATAAGGGCATTTTCGGCATGTACTTGTGAGATATTTGAAAATGACCCTTGACATGCATAAGCACGATTCATTATACTCATAACACACTTCATAAATCATTTAAAGCATAATTGAACAAAATTGAGTGACATTGAGCTCATGATTTTATACAAGGCATGTCTAACTCAAATCTTGTATATATGATTTAAGTGCAAAATTTTGAAAAGAGAGATTAAATCTTTATCGAATGCTTTTCTTGCAAAATGTTTTTGTCCTTAATTGAAAATGACTTATTAATTCTATGTTTTTAATGATATAGCATGGTTGAGCAAACTCAATTTGATATATTTATATAAATTGCACAAATTCCATGTTGCTTGGTATTTCTCTCATGATTGGTGAATTGATTGAAAAGGACTTCTTAAGCATGATCTTGAGTATGATAATTTGGCATTGATGGCATTTTTCAAGCAAAGGAACAGATCTATTTGCAATAGTTGACATCCTTGAGATTACAATGATTTCAATGATATATA